TTCTTGAGCACTTGAATGGTTGTTTCTATTGTCGTATTCATACAGTAAGTATAATCGTCCAAGAATTTAATGTGTCTGAGAAAAGAATAAGATAGAGAACAAAAACTGCCCATAATTAATATACTGTAAGCAATAAAAGGGTACACTGCAAAGTGTGGCAATGCAGTAAAATATTCTGATTACCCCCTCCATTAATCTCGTTTCGGAGAAAATTCAAGGTAATTCATTATCCATTTCCTTACGATTTTAAGTCCAGTTCACGCCACGCCCCTGGAATAGTGGTCTTCTATACTGTAGTACTGTGATAGACCACTCTTACAGGGGCGTGGCAAGCCCTCTAAAAGATGTTCATCTCTATTATACAGTACTGTACGGCGTATAGTGTACACTGTACAGTCGAGACCCTTTAGATTGTACACTATACAGCACAGTACTGTACTGTACTGTACAGTATGTCTTTGAATTGTGAAGAAATGTAGTTTAAATTTGGCTCTAATTCCAAGCAGATAGATCAATACAACTTTGAGCCATTGGCTCTTGATATTTTGATTACTTTTTATCGCAGTATTGCATAATTGTGTTTCTTTCAAGTTTCTAATACAAACGATAAGTCGCTGTTGCATATTCGGTCGCTCCAGCCATTTTACAAGTCACGTCGTAATACCGGTCTGTATTGTACAGTACTGTATATCCTGTAAAGCAAAAGATCGAAAGCAACAGCATGATGGAGAGACAGACAGACAGTGGCTTGAAGTTTTTAAATTTGCCTTTACGGTAGTGTTTCATGTCGGAAAGTTTATTTATGATTAATAAAAGGCTACTAACTATTGTCTATCCAGGCATTAGACCAGAGTCACCAGACCATAAACATTTCTACTGTACAGTACAGTAGTACTGTCTAGTTAGTACACACTCTACAGTATGTACTGTAGAGTATACCAGTGAGATTATTATTCCACTCACCGGTGATGATAATGGTAACTTTGGCGCAAAAGCCGTGTTCAAAATGACAACATTGATGATACACACGGATGTACTACTGTCCTTGCTGCCT